CTATATCCATCTAATATTATATATAATATAGGCCTGTGGTAAGCAGGATATCACATTATGCATATATATATTTTTTTTCATTGCAACAGTTATGGTGTTTATCTCTACTTATAATCGTACAACAACCTGTTATTTTTGTTTTGCCGTAACTGTTGACAGATTGTTTCTGAGCAATATTGAGCTATTAACTAATTAATTTCATTGTCATTTAATAATTAAAGATTTTAACATTGTTTGGGATATAGTTTGCTACTGCTACTTTTCTTTGTCTATTTGAGATTACAGTGATTCCAAATGGCTCACATAGTCTATCATTTTCGTGATCTATTCTTTTTATAAAGTCACCATTTTTATCAAATAGTTGTAGTCTATGAGCGCTTGACACTATTATATTTTCATCCGTATCTGTGGTTACACCATGAAGATGCCAAATTCCATTGCTTAAAACTCTGATAAAATTATCATTTACATCATACATTTGTATTCTACAATTTCCATAATCAGCAACAATCACATGACCACCTTTAGATAAAGTGACATCAATTGGTGAATTCATTTGATATATTTCTAACCCCTTGGAACCAAAGTTGCCAAGCAGGCTACCATTATCAACACTGAATTTAAACACACAGTTAGCACTGTGATATGTTACATACAGCAGTCTAGTTTCATTGTTTACTGTCAAACCCTCTGGAGATTTCAAAATCCCCTCACCAAATGAGCAGGTTTCTTTAAATTTATCGTCACACATTACAACACAATTTCTATACACATGACTATACATTAGGTGACCATTATCCATAAGATGCATTCTATTGACTATTACATTTTGTGGCAGCTGTATGCTTGTAACAAATAAACCAGATTTGTTGAACTTTAATAATATATCTTCATGGTAGCTTGATACTAATAAGCATCCATCGGCATCTAATATTACATCTTTTACTTTACATCTTTTATTATGTTTTTTGTATTCTGATATGTTACTAATGGTATGAACAAGTCCCAGTGATTCCACCGTGATATTCACTGGAGATCCTTTGATCTGTGCAGCTCCAGCAGTGATCTTCATTTGCCATTCACCTTCCACATTGCATCTACCTGATATTTTGTACTCTCCACTTTCTTGATAATCTACATCAGTTGCAGTCTCTTCTCCTGATGAGTTTCTTAGAGTGGCAGTTAATTGAAATGCATCATTTTCTGCTATACTGGATACTTTTACAACAAATTTTTCTTCTTTTGTGACAGTAATTGTTTCATCATCTTTAGCAACCTTGTACAAGTCCCCAACCATTATTATTTTACCAATGCCCTCAGTATTTATCAGCTCTTCTATTTGTGTAGATTTAGTGATATTTAGTGTAATATGTCTTTTATGAAATGATTGACAAATATCAGTTTCTCGGGCCATGTTTCTGATAGTCTTCAAATGATGCAAATATGATTCACAAGTTTCTATTTCTTGTTCATTCGTCGCTGTATTGATACGGACCATCAGATCATTTGTTTTAATCAACTGTGAATTAATATCTTCCACTTTATGATCTTTGTGTATCACTTCAAGTTTGGAGATTAATTCTTTGCTTTTCTTTTGAACTGTCTTGATAAGTCTCTTTTGCTTAACTTCAATAGCTGATTCAAATTTTGACATATCATTAGTAATGGATTCAAGGTTTCTTTTCAGATTGATTGCAATGCCCTCAGCTATTCTGATAACTTCAGTAGCATTTTGGTTAAACTTATGTATAGCAGTCTTCATTTCAATCACATCATGTTTGTTTTGATAACACAGAAGAACTTGATTACATTCCTCACATGCTGATTTGTTGCAAGTTGAGCAGTAGAATTCCAGTACATTGTTGCAATGAGTTGGACATTTGTAATTTTCATCTGTACCAGCTCCTTCTTCATTCCATTCCAATATGTATAATTGATGGTTTTTCAATGCTGGTATTATCTTGTGGTGTTTGGAACATTTCCCACATAAGTAGAGTAAACATTCTGAACAGTGGTAGGTTGGTGGATTGTAACAGCTGGAACATGTACTTGATTTTTTTTCAGATTCGATCTTTTTCACATAGTTAAGTAAATATT